ATCTTCAGAAAGGTCAGCCCTATATGAAAGTTAGAGATAAAAGTATGTCAATCACTCGTATTCTGAGGGAAGACAATCACCAAGTAAACTTCATATCTAAGTTAGCAAGTTCAACACCTGTTAACTTCCCTACAAATGTCTGGGTTGAAGTTCTAAAGAAATCAAATATACGTGAAGAAGAGTTAGTGGCTTTTCCCATTAACATTGAAGAAGATTGGAGGACCTCAATTACATATTATTTGTTTATTAATGATTTACCCTCAAACAAAAACAAAGTCAGTCATCTGACTGAGCGAGGAGTGAGGTATTGCATAACTGACAACATTTTGTACTGAAGATATGTCTCAACTCACTACTAAATTTTTTATCCCCATAATAAAAAAACACCTATGTTTTGAAAAAGATACATGATGGTTTATAAGGTCTACATACAAGCTTTAAAGACCTCACTGCTTAGGTCATACGAGTAGGTTTTTATTGGCTAATTATACTCCATAATAGCATATATTTAGCTAAGAAATGTAATCATTGTCAGAGGTTTGCCTCAGTCTTCTATCAACTATTTTCATAAATGACCATTATAACCTTCCCATGGCCTTTTTTATAATGAGGGAAGGAAGGCCACAAATAAAATATAGTTTGTCCTAGTAGCTATTGATTATTTTATTAAATAAGTTGAATCAAAGGCCTTAGTAAAGATAACCACCAATAAAGTACTTTCATTCTTATCATATGCTGATTTGGGCTCCCTAAAATCTTGATTACAAATAATGAAACATGGTTTGAAAACCGCAAAATGAGAAATCATTATCAAATACTTCATATTGATCTTCGTTTCTTCTTCATATCATATCCTCAAACCAATGGTCAAGTTGAATTAACTAATAAAGTCTTGGTTAATGGACTCAAGAAAAAAGATAAAAGAAGTTAAGTTAGAATAGGTAGAGCTTATGAATAAAATCTTATAGATTATAGAACAACTTAGAAGATGTCCATTAATAAAACTCCTTTTCTCCTTACATAGAGGACTGAAGTCATGATCCCTAATGAGATTGCGTGTCCAAGTCATCAGGTGGCTTACTATACCTTAGAAGGTAATGAACAAGGTTTTAGGACCAATTTTGACTTAGAATAATATCGCATGATTGTTGCAATTAAAAATAAAACTTACAATCTCAAAACTGTCTAGTATCACAATGTTAAAATGAAGAATAGAAGATTCAAGTATATAAGAAATAGAGAAAGTATAGGCAAGTTGGCGCCGAAATAGAATGGTCCTTTCAGAGTCATAAGATTAATTAAGGTGAATACTTATCATTTACAAGTTATGAAAGAAAATAATCTCCTTCACCCTTGACATTCAGGCCACTTAAACTTGTATCATTGTGAATAAAAAAGTATAATTTCATACACTTAAACTTGGTCTCACTAATGGCAGTAATCCCTATAACCTCCAGTGTTGTCCCCACTTAAAGATACAAGTCCACATCATGGCTAGTCAAACTAGCGGACTTAAGAGTGTACCTACCACTGAGAATTCTTTTTTATCTTAAGCAGCAACAACAACATTACATGACCAAAGCCAAACAAATCCATTGCCAACCTCACCGATATAACATGATTATTGAACCTAAAAAGTTTGTAATTAGAAATCTCTCATAAGCATAGACATTGGATATGTTTCAAGTATGGATATATAACCTTTACAAAACTAAAACTCATTCGTAATTTCCTTTCAGAAATATTTTCTAAGTATAGGTATTAGGCTTATAAAACTTATTTTCTAAGTATAAACATTTGATTTATACAAAATATTTTTTATACAAAATATTTTCTAAGTATGGGCATTAGATCCATACAAAATATTTGTTTAAGTATGGGTATTGTGCTCATACTGGTTACTTAAAAAAGCTTACTAAAAGACTTAGAAAATATAACAATTTAAAAGACTTGAAAAATTTAGTAATTCAAAACAAATAACAAATATCTGAAGACCTCATGGCTAAATTCAAGGCTTGAAAACTAAGATATTGTTTTACAAATAAAAAGGAAGATTACATATCCATTTAAAACTACACCTCTTCATTTACTGAGGTGGTGGCTCTAGTAAGGAAGACGTCCTTTAAGTCAGGAGCCTGACCATTAGGGAAGGATTCACTACAGTCCACTTGTATTTCTTTTAAAAGGTTTAAGAAATATAAGTTGGATATTAGTAATAAGAGTCTATCTCATATTAGATATGTTAGATAGATAGACTCTCCAAACTCAACATAGAGCTCCTCATAGGAGTCTAGCCTCCTTCTTAGTTATTTTTAATTCCCTTTCAAGGCCTCATTGGACTCTTTAAGCTCAACCACCTCTTTCTTTAAAGAATTTATTTGATTATGCACCTCTTTAAGTTTCTTCTAAGTGGACTCTAGAATTAAGTTTTGTGCTTTGAGCTCCATTTGCAGCTAAGCATAAACAGGCTTGAGGGCTTTCATCTTAGCATTTTGGGTGGCTTTCTCATCCTTCAGCCTATACACCCCTGTTTTATTGGTACGATACTATTCTATTACTTCTTTTATTTCCCTCCTTTCCTTAGCCTATTAAATTTTCAAGTAAACACACATCATAAACATCTAAATAATAAATAAAAAAGACCAAATAAGTTCACATCCTTAAAAACTACTTAATATATTAGAATAATGAAAAACTTAAGGATTTCTTATGCCTGAAAAGCCATATGCCGAGTGATGGCCAAATGGCATAAGTAGCTAGAGTCAATTAGTGTGCTTATTTTAAAAGGAAATATGTCTAAGGTGTTAATCACTTTCAGTCCTCTAAGCCTAAAAATGGACCTTCCTTATAGAATGGTCTTTATTATTCCCCTATTTTCCTTATTTAGTATAGGAAAGCAAAAAGAGGTACAACCTAAGTTGAGCTTGAAAAAGAAATCCCCAACCTTGGTGGATTGAGGTGTCTGGTTGGAGAACTTAGGAAAAATGCTAATAAAGCTCGTTAGAGCATGAGCATTGGTTAGTGGAGGATCACGTTTATGTTAGAATATGAGTTAATTATGACCTTTATTCTCTTCCATTATGAAGTAGCCTCCATAAAAGTTAAAGTTAGGGTTGGCACCCTAGGACCCCCTTGATATAAAAGAATGGTTTCGGTTGGCACCCTAGGACCCCCTTGATATAAGAGAATGGTTTCTCGCTACCATTTTTTGATGCACCTCCTAAAAAAAGGGATAATTGTTAGGATTTTCTCAATATGGACAACTGTTGAGGTCTCCTTAAAGTCCATGAGAACTATTCCTTTAACCCTTTTCCATGTATTAAAAGCAGGTTGTCTTGAGAGGAGCAAGCACGACTGAGTGAAGATATGGTCATATTATGGATTATGTATAACTTGGACTCACTGGCTTCAAATCGAGTCTCCCTTAGCAAGGATCTTGCATGAAGAAAAATTCAAAAGATGAATAGCATAAGAAAAAAATAACACGTGATATTAAAATTACCAGAAACACCATAAAACCTTTATGCCATGCAATTGACCTTATACTTAGTGTGGAGATCACATAATATATTTCATATCCTCTTTTCCTCTTCATAGAGAAAGGGCTTGTCATTGACCTCAGTAGAGGATGCTCTCTAGAAATTGATATAATTCTTTATGGCATTGTACCCATCCTGAGGTCTAGTTATGCCTTTGTGCTTCACTATGACCTATCTTTCTCTCCATTTTTTTGACTGAGAGGTCTTCCCATTGAAGGTGTCTTTCATAAGCCCTCTTAGCCTATAGAGAAATTAAAGAACTAAAAGATAGAAAATCCTCATTCATTATCACTGATCAAAGTGTAACAATACATAAACACCTCAATCATGGGTTCCTCCCCTAACCCTCATCAACTTGTCAAAAGCAGATAAGTTAGTTTATCCATTGGGATAGAGCTAAGCAAGGCTTCTATTATAGTAACAATGAATATCCTTTACAAATAGGCTTACTGGTGACCTAAATAACATGGTTATTATTAGCCTTTGATATCAAAACCATGTAACTCCCTGGCTATTTAGAATTGGCCAGAGACACTCGGTCAAAAGACATAATGTTTTTAGCCTTATATAGAGGTGTCATTGACAACCTTTCTTATCCATTAAGGTTTGAAACCTCTCGAGGACTTTTATTTCTCCCTCTTCCAGTGGAAAAGGATATAGCAACATTGATTACAAATCTTGGGCGAATTCTAATAGTCATAGATCCTTGGTGAACACCACTAATTTCAGGTCTAAAACTAAAATCTCCTTTAAGAGACATGATTTTTTTGCCTTTTATAGACGCCACTCTTTAAAAAAATTAAAAAAGCAAGAAAGAAAGAGAAGATGAGTTATTATTTTCAACTCAATATTCTCATGCTTTGAAAAAGTCCAAATCTATAAATAAGATGTTAGCATAATTGAATATAGGTCTGACATCCTATCAAACTCAATATACTTGGGTTCAGCTATAAGCTGGGCCCAAATCATCGTGGTCTAGCAAGATGTCAAACCTAATAACTTGGGTTCGACCATAAGTTGATCCCAATATACTCAGGTTTGACCATAAGCTAAGCTCAAGTCATCGTGGATCTAACAGAATGCCAAATTCATTTCCTTTAGGTTTGGCTACACATCAAATCTAGTTGGACTTAGAGATCCATGTTAGAACTATATAATTCTATCTTTAGGTTATATATATGAATTATTCATAACAAACAAAGGTAATAATATCCTTACATCTATAGATATATAAAAAGTATTTTCAAGAACCCTATCATATTTTTCATCTTATTAATGATATATAAGATATATTTATTCTTTATTAATAACATAAAAAACAAAAGAGTTTCTTATTAATGATATATAAGATATATTTATCCTTTATTAATAACATAAAAAACAAAAGACTCTCAGTCTATGGTTGTTAAAAACGAGTTTTGACTCCTAAAATCACCGATTTTACGAGTTAAAAGGCATAAAACGTGTAAAATTATATTTAAAACTTGAAAACCGATAAAATTAGTCAAACCTGGTCAAACTTGTATAAAATCAGGTCAACCCATAAAAAACATAAAAACCGGTCTGATCTCACGATTTCACTTGAAATTTAAAACTTATGCCTGTTAGCACCTTTCATCCCTTTCCCTTCCTCTTTCCCCATCAAATTGAGAAATTACTTTCCCTAGATTCGAAGCATTCTTGGCGAGACGAAGGTAAGAATTTATTCCCAATCCCAAGCTTTCTTGGCGACTCTATCCTCTTATTGCTGAAGTTCATCTTATTGTTGGGAAAAAGCAAAGTGAAGCAAAGAAGGGTTTGAATTGGGATTGTGCAAGTTGAGTAAGAAAGCCAGTACTACAATGTTGGAGCCAAAGGCTATGGTTCTTCGTCTTCCAAGAACTAGGCTCTTATTATCTAAAGAAGAGACGATTATCATTTAGAGTAGAGAGAGAGCTAGGAAAGCATGAATTGAACTCAACACCACTACGGTCTTGAACTCCATCAACTCAAAGCTCAAGATCGACTCAGATATGCCTGTCTCTTACAAGGCTTTGATGGTGGTGTTGTCGACTTCTCTGTCCAAGGTTCCTCCGATCCTTACCTCGTCGGGTAATTTTATCGCCACCCATCTTTCCTAGTTCTAAGGTTCTTTTCTATGATTGAATTGCATTCTTGGAGGTAAAAATTCTCATTTCAGTGCTATTTAATGAACTCACGGTGATGAGTTTTGTTTGGAGTTGGTAAATTTATATTTATGTATTTCTTACTCACAAGCACACTTAAAATAAGATTATGGTGGAGATTGCTTATGAGTCGTTCTAAAAGTGGAAGAAAAGGAAACGAAATGGGATTTTTGTGCATGTTGGTTTAATTATATTTAGTAAAGATTGATTCTTTGCTTTTGTTTGTATAAAAAAAGATTGATTTTTGTTGTTATTTATATTGTGTGCTTAAATTATTATACTATTAACTATTTTGTTGTTCTTTCTTTTTGGGTTTCCATTGCAATTAAGGTCACAGGAACTTCAGAGACCTTGTAATATATCTGTCTTGGTTCTTTTCAGTTTTGTGTGTTGTTCCACATTCTCTTTAGGATGGAATTTGATAACTAGTAATTTTTTAGTACTTGATGATTATACGCCTTGATATTCTTTGATTCTTGTCTTTTTTCTTTTGCTTAGACTTTATTTTACAAAAGTGAAATTAGGCTCTCCTCTTAAAGAATTCAACGTGCAGATTAATACTGGAAGTGGTCTTGTGGGTCTACTGCAATTCCTGCAACAACTGCCCACGTAGTGGCCTTGAAGTAAACTCTCTTTCCTTGCCTTGTCATTAGTCTTTCTATACATTTGTAGAATTGGAAAACTTAAAACTAAGGTTCAACTTCCTGTGGTATGATGTTTGTGTTTTGCAGATTCAGCTCAATTTCCTTGATTCCGACAGCTCATCAACTACTGGGCAGGTCCGTTGTTCAGACCCAATTTGCACTTCAGCAGTTCAAACCACAGCAACCCAATGCTCTTCTCAAACTGATCAGTGTAGTTATACATTCCAATATCGAGATGAAAGGGGGACATCATGCTATTATGTCTCTTATACACTTTATTTTGATGTTATTTTAGGGCAATCACTGATCACCAACTCCTCAACTCTCATGGTCTTTGGGTAGGTTTTCTAATGCTATTGAACAAGAATGTGGCGTGTTCTGTTTTTTGATTAACAATGATTATGTTTTTTAAAGAGAAGAGATAAGTGGAATTAAAGAGAACTGCTACTAGGTCTATAATGTTTTTTCCTTTTCTGTTAATCTTTACACTAATTCTGTTTTTTTATAATTCTATTCCTTTTCTGTTAATCTTTACACTAATTCCGTTTTTTTATAATTAGTGAAAAAAGTTGTACTGAAACCTAGTCTCCATGGAAATTTCACATGCCTATTTAGGTTAGTCAATTGTTACCTAGATTTGTAACCAAAAAGGTTTTATTAAAATTGAAAAATTTAGTTGTTGCTTGCATTGTGGTGTTGTTGGCAACCTCAACATTTATTAAATTTCTTGTTGTTTGATTAATTTATGTTCAAGTGTATTGAACTACAGGGTATAACATGCATGTTTAACATGCATGTTTTTCATTTATTCAACTGTGATTTTATGATTTTACGATTCGAGTTTATATTTTATATTCCGTATCGTGTTAAAAAAGCATTTTTAACAACCTTGCTCTAGTCTTTCATTTTTCTAAAAACAACAAGATTTAGAAATTATAAATATTCTCTGAACCACTCAGATACAGAATCATTTTTCCTACTCTAAAAACTTATATATCTTATAATATTAATCACAAAATATTAAGAACAAAGACTCTTGTTCTTAAAATTAAAAGATTTTTTTTAATTTATTATAATCTCCATTTAAAGTTGCTGATTTTATTATTGGAGAGTCTTTAAGTCCCACCAATAAAAAAAAAAATTGCAAGTACTTACTGATATCATCAATTTTTGCACTTTTTAGACTAAGAAAAAGAAAATATGTACATGGACATTTACTTAAATACTATTTAAACACCAAATAACTTGTTCTTTAAATATACTGAATTTTTTGAGACATCATCCAGATATATGTCTCCATAGGTGAAGCAATAAATAAGTAGCTCTAGAATTGAAATTCAAGAAATAGAACCGCAGAAAGGAGGAGCATACCGCAATAGGAAGGCTCCAGTTGAAAACAGGACCCCAAAAATGAGTTGTTCTGGGACCGATAGGACTATTCCAAAAAGTCAGGAGGAATTTCATTTTACAAGCTGATCGATGGCAACTTGGAATCCTGCAAATGTAAAGAGAAGAATAAGAAATCAGCCGGACTTGTGACATGAATTTCCAATCACACTCACATAAAGAGAGAGATCCTGAATCATGTTAGAATTTCTTACCAAGAGAATGGGAATTAAACTTCGGATAGATTATGAAGTCTCGGAATGAAATAGTGCAGAAGTTCGGAATCTCCCAAGGGATCTCTGCCAAGTGTGAATTACCAGAAAGTCAAGCAGGACAAAGAGCATAGATCATCCGACCCAATAGAATATTAATCTGTTCATGTTTTTCAATGGATGAAAATGATGTCCCGACAGCTGAACAAGCTTGCCATTGGCACGTTAATTGAATCAAACGTGGCAAGATCATATTGTATTATATTTGTGGTCATCATTTTTCAATCAAGATTGTGATGTCTGAGTTTATCATATTGTTTACAACTTGCCATTATCCTCACCTCTCACACGCACTTCTTCTTAATACTTTTGAGAAAAAAATCCCACTTTTCAATTAAAAATATGCATTAAATTAATCTGCCAACAATTCATATACTATACTTGAAAAGAAAAGGGTACGTATTTTACAAACTGAATTTTTATCATTATTATATCATTTCATAAATTGGAATTATTAAACCAACAGGAGTCATTTGCACATGAGAATTTTTTGACAATAATGAACTTGGTTCGATCACTATATTTTTTCTAAATAAATCCTTAATTATAATTTTTAGTTATTGTATTTTATAATAAATATAATTCCGTTCTTGAATGAAAATATTTTCAATGAAATCCCTATTTATAAAATTGTATACTTGTGAATTTGTCTTGTTTAATGAAATGGCAGATAGAGGTAGTGGAAGAACTTGGAGAGGCTGATAATAGAGGATGCAATGACGCCATGTTTGGTTCCCCCCTTACTCCCACCTCCTGACCAGTAACAGTGCATGACTAGTGAAGTTTGGATATGCCTCCTTTAGACAAAGCATTCGTGCTGGTCATAGTTTGATCCACGATTTTTAGTAATTTAGCTGCTTTCTCTCAAGTTGTTTCTCCCCGCATGTTTGATCCACGATTTTTAGTAATTTAGCTGGTTTCTCTCAAGTTGTTTCTCCCCGCATGGCGTCCATGGAAGCTCAGGAGTTCTGAGTCAAATACACAGTGATACGCGAATAATTTTTCACAATTTTGAGATCCAGTAATTCCCAGAGTACAAGAGAGGTTTTTTCTTAAAACACAAAGGTAAGATCTGCTTCTTCGGCAACAATTTCCTCTACTCCACAGGAAACAGTATTATGTAAGCTCTTCAAATTGTAGAAGATCCACAGGAAACAGTATCAAGTTGTAGAGCGTGTTGTGTGTTCCGAAGGCTAGACACGCGGTAACTGAGTCAAGATACTAGTGCGGGATGAGAAATTTCACTATGATCATAGAATAAGATATTTTACTAATTGTTTTTTGAGTAATTTTAAAAAATATATATATAAATATAAGTAAAAGTAAAAGAGAAATTTTATGTTGAGATATTCTCATACTTTTAGTAGATTATTAATTTTATTTAAAAAAATAGATACGAGAGAAATTTTATATGGAAATATTCTTGTAATTTTAGTTATCATGAATTTCTTTTTTTTTTTCCTTTTTGTATTTGTTTTGTTCTTCAAAGTAGACTCAAGGAGTCACTAATTATCCCCTTAACACCATAAAATTTCTCGCGTGGGACGCTTCATATTTTTTTGTGATTTTTTTTAGATAATTACAAAAACCTGCTAGACTACAATAGAAAAGTGAAAACAAGACCACATCTTAGAAGGTTTTCTTTTTTTGTAATTATCTCGTTATTTCAGGGGGTCACTAATATATTGCTCATTCTCCAATGGAAAGTTAAATGGAGGTGGGGAACGTTTTGATATTTGAGCTAAATAGAAAGCCTATCCAAATGAATAAGAACATATTTACTAGAGGTGGGGAACGTTTTGTGGTCATGAATGTTGTGTTATGGTAAGGATTATGCAAATGACAACGAAAAATCAATGGAGAAATTGTCAGATTTAGGGAGATCATTATATGGAAAGGTGGAGATTTTGTTTTAATATGGAAAAAAAACATACAAAAACTAATCAAAAGAGACAATATTACTTTTATTGAAAATTTCAAAAGAATTTTATCACACAAGTGGAGATCCAATTTCTAAAGATTATATGATTTTATTCAGCAATTGTGAGATGCGGGGACATCTTTTTTTTTTGTTCAAGTTGTTTTTCTTTTTATAAATTATTTAAAGTAATTCTTAATGATCAATCTTTCTATTTATTTTTTTCAAAACATAATAATTTTTTATCTTGTGTCCATTATAATGATGAAAGAGACAATATTTATTAAGATTTCTAAGTGGTCGAATCACTTTTCATGGAGGAGGATAATACAAATTCTTTTTTTTTTAATAGCATGCGAGACCTTAATGCAAGTGGTGGTTAGAGATGTTGTCATTACTCAAGGAAATATAATTTGTCACAAATGGACCCCTTTGAGTTCTATTTTGGAAGCCATTAAGCTACAATGACACTTGAAAGATTCTATTTTTGGTTGATGGAATGAAGAGTGACCTTGCTTGGTTATTCCTATTTCTTTTACTTGAATGTGAATTTTTATTATTTGTTTTACTTTGAGGAGAGTTCTATCAAAAAATAGTATATAATCATTTCCACGAATAGACTCCACTAATAAGAAATTTAGTGGTAATGGGTTCAAGTAGGCTTTTCACATTAAGCTGGTGCTCTCATCTTCTGGCAAAGAACTTAATTGGCCTACTTTGTTCGGGCTTCTCTTCCTTGGGCTACTATAGCTAGCCCAAACACAGTGCTCTTTTGAGCTTCTCTCCTTTATGCTACAGTAGCTAGCCCGAACAATAAGTGTTTTTTTTTTTTTTTTAGTAGTGGATGGGTATTTGGCTCAAATTTGTATATGGACAACCAAGTTGATCGGCCTTGGTGTTGGACCCAATTTCTTGACCGAACAACAACAAGGTGTTCATGGCCCAACAAATCACATAATAATATGTCAAGTTTTGTCCACTAGGCTCCTGAGAAAAATCTCAACCTCTCTATATATCAGGAGAAGACGGTCGTGTAACCAAAGACAAAGGGGAACTAGCAAATGGTGCACAATTTTGGCTTCAACTAAATTTAAGCTGGCAGCACGATCACAAAGCAATGGTCGATGAAAAAATTTAAAATGGAACTAAAGAAGTGCTTACAAAAATCTGCTTGGCAAAAGAAGAGTTTCCTAAGTTGAGTCTAGTGTCAATGAAAACCAGAGTAAATACAATACATTACTAACACAGAAGAATTGAAGGGTGCGTGCTCCTACTTTTAAGAAACCCTCCGACAATTTGTGAGGAAAATAAGAACCCCCATAGAAACTCAATTCCAATCAGACCCACAAAGATTTTAGGAACCAAACTTCAGTAGATGAAAACAGGCTATAGGTAAGATATTATTAGTATAATCTTCATATCTCAACTCTAGCCTAATGTAATGACGAGTGAAGGGTCCTAGACATAGTACATAATAATGTTGTCGTTGTGTCTTTTCTTAAAATGATGGCTAAATACACATTAGTGAAATGCTGGAGAAATTGAGACAGCCATGAAACTAAGGTGCATTGAGATGTACTCTAGAGAGAGAGAGAGAGAGAGATGAGAAAAGAAGTTCTCGTTTGCTACAGGAGATTTAAGGTTGAAGATGAACAAGTCTTGAAGAATGCTGTTTGTGATAACATCGCGTTTTCTTTCAAGTTTTTTGGCGAGTAGAGAAGGGGGCAGACATTGTGTTAAGGCCAGGAGTTGAATATGTGATTGGTTGTTAAATCTCAGCCACTAGCTAGCATTCAAGGAAGATGACAGCATTTCCACGTGTCAAAGGAGCAGAAAATGACAAAAAACACTTCTTCCATACTAATGGTATGGAAAGACAAATAGTACAAGGGTTAAATTAAAGATAAAGACTTTATTAAGAAAAAATCGATAATAAGCAACCCATCTCTTGTATAAACAAGAAGAAGAAGAAGAAGAAGCAGCAGCAGCTTACCTTTTAATCATATACATAACAGCTTTCTTCCATCCTGGAATGAGGATCTAAATTATAATTGAGCATATTGCGTGTTATTATAAATTGTACTGTTGATATCTTTTTTTTAATTGTTGTTTACATAATTTAAACAAACAAAATAATGATTGAGACACCTAACTATAAAAGGCAAGAATAGATAAATATTTCTCATTGAAGACCCAAAATTTGTCATCCATGGAGTCATTGTAAGAATTCAATGGTGATATATTGTGGTCAGGTAGGAGAGTACAGAGAAATAAATTTATTCATATAGAACTATCTTTTGAGTGAAATTGTCTAGACTATGAGGACCATGCTGCAGCCTGCTATGTATTTCCAAACAGACTGTTGATTCTGGATCAAGGGTTACCAAAGAACAGAAAGTGGATAAAATCACAATAAAACTTATGATGAATCGTGCATAGGTTAAGATTATTAAACAAGAGCTTTTAATTCTTACATCTTGGGAGCAATAGCCTCTCCGTTGCGAAGAATCAAACCAGGTTCAAGCAGCATTTATAAATAGACAATTCCTCATAAAAATGAAAAGCTGCGGGCTTGCTTCTCCAATCATGTGAAGTTAACCTCCAGTCATGGTGATCTCTCTTAACAGGTCACCTTGGAACCGACAGACCGAGCTCTAAAGAAATAAACACCACAAATACAGGAATCAGATAGCAGACAACTGCGAAATGCGCACTCTATAACGAAAGAACAAGATATAGATAACAACATTCCAAATACAAATTAACAAAACAACTCCTTCTGCATTGCAAGATCAACATCTGTGAGGATCCTATGAGCACTCTTAATAATTTGTAATTCATCAAACCACAATATCCCTAGTCATCATAGAACTTCCTTTCATAAGTTTCTATAAATGAATAGCCGAATAGTATCTAATAACTGTAATGAGAAACATCATCCAAAGAAGTTCCACATTGTTTTAGGTCATAGACTGTATAGTTGATGACAGGGCCCACCTCCAATAACAGCAAACATGTCTCACGTACCATCAACTCCATCTGGGACAAGGAGCAGTTATGTTACCAAGGTATTCTAAATTACTGACAAATACATTACTTGATGTGCACAAAGTTCAAGCCCATTATAAAAGAAAAAGAAAAATGAAAAATGCCTAAATGATAGCCTAAATGACTTCTTTGAACCCGTCCAACTAGCTTCACATTTCAACAGCACGCTAGCCCATCAATCACTCTTTATATTACTCTTATCATATATCCCATAATTGGAACAAATTTTTTGTGATACAAGTTTCAGAATCAACACAATAATCTCACTAAAGAGGTGAATCTCACTAAAGAGGGCCTCTAACCAGTGCATTGTATGAATGACTAAATTGTTCTGAAAGGCATCAAAGTCTGTGGTTTTGGTTAGTTAAAACAGAGTTCAGCTTAATACATGGCAAACTATTCCCAAAAAAGAATTAACAATAAAACAAAAGGCGGATTGCAACAACATGTCATACAGAACATTGAATGCTCCTGAATTACACTAAGACATGAGAAAGCCTGGCATGTTACGTTTTGGGGCCAGTTTAACATCATCCAAACAAGTATGGAGAACAGCTCTGACATGGACATATGTTAAATTCACTAACATGCAATAAGGCCTCCATTTTGATATAACCAAATATTCTTAAGATGATTAAAAAAGCACTCATGGATTCATACTTGACAAAGATGCAGACAACAGGTCCCCAGTTTATTTCTTTGAATTATGTGCCTGCAGGAACCAAATATCCCAGTCAGATTGCGTTAAGCCTAATTAAAGCACTCTCAAGTCTCATCCCACTTGACACCCTCAATTTGTTTTACCAACGTGTAATTCCAGCTCAAAAAATGTGCCCAGCAAGCTCATGCAAAGACACAATCTAGATAAAAAAAAAAAAAAAATCTTAATTTTAACACTGGACTCTTTAATTTCTAACACCTTGATCAAATTTAAATTAGTAAGTTTTAACTCAACAAGTCTTTAACACAACCCCGGAAAACTGCGAAAATGCCTATCACATCCCTTTGCAGCAATTTCAATTTTCAGTTGTTAATTTCAGTCTCTATCCCAATTTCCACAGAGAGGAATGGAATTCAATTAAAAAAAAAAGAAAAAAACAGAGAAATTGGACTGGATCAAACAGTACACTATTCATAGGAAGAAATGAACATTTTCAAAAGCAAGAAGCGAAATCCAATTCGACAGGAAAACAAAGAAAAAAAAAAGAGCTACTTGCTAGTCACTAGAGAAGCAATAAAAGCTAGTACTGGAGGCCGAGAGAAGTGCAGCAGAGTGTACCCTGAGAGAGCGCACGGCAACTCCTGGATGTAGTGCTTAAGCATGATGTCATCCTCGACGCCGCCACCGCGCTGTGTAGTGGCAGCAGCGAGTGAACGCATCCCAACTCACATGGAGCCCTACATGCCCAAAATCAATGAATTAATAAATTCAAAACAAGGAAAACAAAACACATCCACTCCCATAAATACATAAATGTTTTTACAGAAATATTCACGAATTTACCTGGAAAAGGAGAATTGAGGGGAGGTTGGTGGTTTGGATGATGGGAGAGCAGTAGCAGATCTGGTGGGCAAGGATGGAGATTTAGGAACGGTGGATGACCTGATGGCTGATTTGATGGACGATAGAGATGATTTGGAGATAAATCTCCTGCAAGATGAGGAGAAAGCCATTGCAGGGAATTCAATATCAACCAGATGAAAGATCAAGAAGGCTGTCTCTGAGGGTTTAGGGTTTAGAGGAGAATGAGACGGTCAGCTACAAGACCAGACCAACTAGGTCGGACTAGGAGGCTACGATGGGCTAGGTTTTTTTTTTTAGTAGATTTAAAAAAATTTAATCTTTTAAAATATATTTTGTGTGCGAGATAAATAAGTAAAATCTTAAGTATTTTAAATTTTTATAAAAAATATATATATTAATTCAAATTTAAGATTTATTGTATAAATCTTAATTTTTTTATCACCGCATTTCATTTCTTGGAGACATAATAAGTTATTTACTTTAGAATGTACGGGGAGATTACAATAATTAAGTAAAAAACTAAAATGTGTAGATTTTCAAATTACACTGTTTACTATTTTATATTTTAATGTGAAATTATTGGTTAATTTTTTTAATTTAATTTTTTTTTTTGCAATTATATCTTTTTTAAGCTAAATTCAAGAATAATTCAATCAAATTTGTTGACTGATAATAAAATTAAAAAATTAGTATAGAAAAAGCTCCTAAAAAAGGTAATGGTTTTAAATTTCACTCAAAAAGTTTAATTTAATCTCAGTAACTTTAAAATATAAATATTTGATATCTCAATATTTTTTTAATTTAATTTTGATATAAAAATTTATTTTAGTTATTTTTTAGTTTTTAGTTTGAGAAAGATTGTTAGATTTTAATACGGAGAGAGACAAATATTGTTAACATCAATTTAGATATTAAAATGATTGATCTTTGCATCAAATAGTTTCATTAAATTAAAAGAGTTCATGTTAGGTGATTATGTTACTTTAAAGTGCCTAAAAAACATATATAATTTCAAGAATATTTTTGGTTTAAGGTTGATTTTAGATTTTAAAATGATTTTTTTAGGCTATTGATATTTTTATCATAGTTTTTATAGTGTTTTTCAAAATATTTTTGATCAAAATAGATGGGAAATAGGTTTTGAGTAAAAAAAAACCTTCAACCTTAATTTTCAAATCACCACAGTTGTTGACTTCTGTATAAGATCAGATAATACATCATCTATCTTAACAAAAAAAAAAACATGTGATGTGATGTGAGCCACTAATCTAATTATTACTAATAACAAGATGAAAAAAAGAAGAAGCATTTCTTCAATTCTTTTATGTACCTAAGGAATTTCTTGAAAATATTAAAAAATAATATTAAACACACATCTTAAATAAGTCATAGTTCACATTTAAATTCATGGATATAATGCGTGGGGTTTTGATCTATAATTATATTTAACCTAACTTTTAATATTTTATAAAATATAAAATTGATCCATTAAGTTTTTTTTGGGACTCGAGTAGGATAAGTATATTAAGTTGGGCTAAACTTTTTATGGATATTAAAAATATTTACAGGTTGAGCGTGTCAATTCCCTTATTCCTTGACAATTCTAAAACAATTTTGAGTTGCAACTATTGAAACTAAATAAAACCTCTAAAATGAATATACTATCAACAATATAAAAACTATCATAATTTTTATATAAAAAACAGAACAAAAATTATGTTCAAACATGTTATCAAATAATTAAGATGCAATATGATACAAAGAAAGACTAATGAAAAAAGACTATAAAGTGTTTCTAGGTTATTGGACTATTAAGAAAATAAAAGTTTCATGCTTATTTGTTGAAAAGTAGTTTTTTTTAAGTGAATTCTAGAAAAATAAATTATTTTTTGATATTTGATAGTGTAATGAAAAATAAGTTGAAATTTTTTTTTTAGTGTTTGGTTATGTCATAAAAAATGAGTTGAAAAATAACTTATTAATATTTTATTTTTTTCAAGTTTATTAAAATAATGATAAACAAATCTTACAAATTAAAAAATTGAATGACAAAAAAATTAGAAAAATATATAATTTCATAAATTATCTCAAATAAAATAAATAATAATCAAAATAAAAAAAATCAAAACTAACAAATAAAAAAATTAAAAGATGAAGAAATGAAAATAATAATAATAACCATTCATAAATTATTTCAAATAAAATAAGTAACTATCAAAAAAATAAAAATTAAATTTGATAAATAAAAAATTTCAATCAAAAAATGATAAGGGAAAAGTAAATAACAATTATAAAAATGAAGAACAAAGTTAATATAAAAATGAAATTCTAAAGGATGAAATTTAAAAAAAAATAAAAAATTTATTATAAAAATTTCAATCAAGAAATGATAAAGGAAAAGCAAATAATAATTATAAAAATAAAAAATAAAGTTAATATAAAAATTAAATTCTAAGGGATGAAATTTGAAAAAAAATATATAAAAAAATATAAAATAATCAAAGGTTTGAGGAATAAATTTGATATAATCAATAAATAATATGACATTTCTAAATTTTTTACAATTTTCAGAAAGTGTTTTTCACCAGAAATAAAAAAAAATACTTTCTTGAAAACCAATTCAAATTTTTCTTTAAATGAAAAGTGTTTTTTGTTGATCAACTTTTATAATAACAAACAAATAAAAAAAATTAAAAAATAATTTTTAAAAAATATTTTCCATCAAACAATCACCCCCTCAATCTAGATTATTGAAAGTTTTTTTTTTCACATGTTATTTTAGTTACCAAGCATAAAGAATTGAAATTGTAAAACATACCATCACTTCATCTGATTAAAATTTAAAAGAAATAATTAAACATTTTTTTGAAAGTGAAGAATGAATTTAAAAATGGATGATTCCTGCAACCAAGAACTAGAGGTTGGTGAAAGGGTTGCTTCACAGGGGAAAAGAAAAATGTTGCTGCTCAATTCTCGTCCTCAGCAAAACAACATAAAAGGGCATGAACCTAACTTTAAAACGAAAAGGTTCATTGGACTTAGTAGAGCCATTTACCTCATCTTTGTGGTTGAAAACAAAGCAACTTACATGAATAAATTACATGTGAGTGAAAGAAAAAAAAAGAAAAAGAAAAAGAAAAATATTATTTATATTAAAGACTAGGATTATTTATATTAAGTTATATAAGTTATATAAGTTGAGTGGTTAAACAAATTAAAAAAAAATCAATTTATAATATCTATTTATTAAATTTTTTAACCTATAGTCATTGACATCTATGTTATCTAAATTTAACGTGTAAGATTTGATAGGAGAGGACAACTATGCCATAGAAGCCGGTTTTTTCAAAGACACTGCTCAAAACCCTAAACCCTCCCCAGCAAAGAAAAGAAATAGAGAGAAGACAGGAGGACAGCCAGAACATAAAAACCCGGAGAAGAAAGAGTGAAAATGGCTCTGCTGCACCTAAGACGCACAACCTCTTCTCGAAACTCTTTTCTCTTTCTTCTTCGAAGCTCCACTAGTTTCACCGAAGCCCGCACTTTCTCTAACACCACCACCCTTTTCTCTCCCCATCTTCTCTCAAACTCTGTTTCCCACGAACTCCCATCAGCAACTTTGCCTCCCTTTGATTTCCTCAAACAGTCTCGTCGTGGCTTCGCTAAAGGCAAAAATAAATCAAGTAATGCTCCCTCTTTTTTTTTTTTCTCTGTTTCATGATTTACCCATTTCTGATTGATGGCTAATATGTTGTGAAATTGTGGTAATCGGAGGATCTGATATTATTGGCTTGTGCTCATTTCTGGGTTTTGCTTAATTTGAGGCAGACTATTCCACTTTGCACTTCTCGCATTGCACTTGTGAAAGTTGGTGTTGTTGGGTTTGATTTTTAAGGATGGAAAATACAGTATAGAGAACAGTTTCTTGGCTGTGTGGAGTGTGGTTTCTTTTAATTTAAAGATCCCGTTATGTGTTTGTCGTAGTTCAATATCCCTAATTTCTTTATTTGAATGCTATTAATGTATGTCAAATTGGGAGATCATTTCTTTTCTTATATGTATTTTAGAGGATGACTCTGCTGGGGGTACAGTTGAATTTGTGGATATTGGGCCTACTGTTAAGGCAACTGCTAATTCGCAGATGGATGCGGCTGTAGTTGCATTATCTCGAGAACTCCAGAAATTAAGAACTGGAAGGGCATCTGCAGGTATCCTATCATGGCCCTCTGTTTGCTTTAGTTTGATTATTCGTAACAGCTGGTTTTAATTTGTTGAAATGCTCATCAATTGTATGCTTTGCAGGAATGCTTGATCACATCATTGTCGAAACCGATGGTGTGAAGCTGCCTTTAAATCGATTAGCTGTTGTTTCAGTCATGGATGCTAAAACCTTATCCGTTAATCCATATGATCCAAATGTAATGATCTTATAATACTATCCGTGAAGTTTTGATTTTATTTTTTTTGGTACTTGATCTTTTTGGTCCATTCATTTTGTTTATACTACCCAATAGCTCTGCAGTGTTTCAATGGTGCTAGTTTTCCAATTTAAATAGTGTGGCTTTCAAGGTGATAACTTTTGTGCATCTATTCAAATGCTTGCATTCAGTGCACAACTTAAATGAACTTTGAATAACACTATTGTTGAAACAAGTTGGTCTCCTGTTATAAACTTTATAAAAATCAAGTCTGTGATGCATTTTTCTCTTCCTTTCTTTAACTGTGTTTTACTAGTGTAGTGTTAAAGCTATCGTACCCTTGAGAATCATACCCATTATGTATTTTGCAGACCCTCAAGCAGCTAGAGAATGCCATTGTTTCGTCTCCGTTGGGATTAAATCCTCAAAGGGATGGTGATCGATTGATTGCAGCTATACCACCGTAAGCTCTTGTTTACTTGACATTAATACTTATTTCACATGAAGCATTGGTCTGACACGAGGGCAATTATTGTTGAGTTAAATTTTCAAGATCTTTCTTTTAAGATGACATAAAAATACTTGCCAAACTGGTTAAACACTGCGAATGCATAAAATGTTGAGGATTTCCTGGACTGCTAACTGATATACTTTTTTCCATGCTTTTGCATTTACCAGATTAACCAAAGAGCATATCCAGGTTTGTTTATGACTGAATGTCTCCTTCATTTATTTTATTCAATGATGCAATGTGATCCACAACCCATCACTGGAAATTTGTTCTAGGCTATGTGTAAGGTGGTTGCAAAGTCTTGTGAAGATTGTAGACAAAGTATAAGAAGGGCTCGCCAAAAGGTATCGAATTTAAAATATTTTAACATTAGATTTGTCATTGTGATTGCATAGTTGTGTTAAGCATCCCGAATGCAATGATTTTTCCTATAACTAATGTTCTATAATAATAGAAGTTGGGATCTTTTAGGTTTTGGAAAATCTTGAAAGATTTCCTACTATTTTCTAGATGATCCATATTTCCTATATGTGATAAGAGTACAGACCTTCAAATCAGGAGTTCATTTACAGTTTGAAGATGGGATTCACTATAGAAGTGGACAATTTTCATAGCGTCTTATTAGTGACTTCCTAACTAATGGCTGTTTAACAAAGTGTGTTAAAGTACGGCTGTGTTTAGGTGCTGTTTTAGAGAAGTAGAATTTCATGTTCCAGTGCCATAAAATATGCTTCAGCGTTCTGTTATTTAAGCACATTGTTGGATGGCTTTATAGGCAATGGATACAGTAAAAAAAGCAGGTTCAAGTTTCCCCAAGGATGATGCCAAGAAACTAGAGAAAGAGGTGAGTTTAGGGATAAAACAATTTTATTCTTTTTCCGAAAGTATAAGTTTTGAAATGATTTGAATGTTTTCTGATGTTTGATCCTCTTTGTCAGATTGAAGAGATGACGAAAAAGTTTGTCAAATCAGCAGAGGACATGTGTAATAAAAAGGAAAAAGAAATTAAGACTGGCTAATTGCTGGAATATCATGATGCACAATTAAACTCTTCTAATCACTTAAAGAGAGTTGCACTTGAAATTGAATTACAAATTCCATTGATCAGTTTCGTAGAAAAATGTTTCAATAGAAGTTTCAAACATGCGTACTATTGATTTTATGATAGCTAGCATGAAGCTATATGCTATGTTTTCGTGGATAGCTAGAGACATTACCATGCATAGGTATCCAATGCGTTTCCACCTCCATGAGGGTATTGGAAGTGTATTATGAAGTGAATGTCTATCATCATGATTTTCAAGGACGTAGGTGAAGGTCACAGAATTCACTGAGCGTTAAATTTCCTCTGTAAGTGTTTCTTCTGCCATTTGTTAGTTTGGTCATCACGGTTAAAATCTATAAACAGTGCACATAATGACAAGTTCGTACGAGTGTCGTGGTGGGACTGGTGAAATAATTGTCTGCCTTTATTTGTCCCGGAATGACGAGTTCTCTCTCTGTTTAGGGTTTATTTAGGATGAGTATTGTTGTTGTCATTTTTTATTTTAAAATATATGTTAATAATATTTTTTTATTTTTAAAAATTATTTTTGATATTAGAATCTTAAAATGATTTAAAAATATTAAAAAAATATTAATTTGAAGTAAATACACAAATAAAAAAGATTAAATTTTTTAAAAAATATTTTTAAAACATAGAAATAAAGATATTTGGAGGCTATGTTTGTTTTTTAGGAGATTTTTGGAAAATTATTTTTCAAATTTTTTTGTATTTACTTGTTATTACAAAAGTTGGTCAATGAAAATATATTACAGTTAAATGAAAATTTAGTTTGGTTTTTATAAAAATATTTTTCATATTAATAAGTTATTTTTTAATTCATTTTTATGACATAATTAAATACTAAAAAGTGTTTTTTTAATTTATTTTTTATTATATTATTAAATATAAAAAAAAATATTTTTCAAAAAAAAATTATTTTTTTATAAACAAACAGTACCTTAAATGCTCTCGAATCCAAGATTTAAAGTATTTGACAAGATTATGTGGTGGGTATTGTGGTTGAATGTGAATAGCGCATTCAGGCCGTGAGATTATGACGGTACAAATTTTGCTACGCGTGAATCTTGGTGCTGCCATCATTTGAAACCTCGAATGAGATTATCTCAGATGACACTGGATTTTATTGTACGTGTTGAGCTGCTTTCTTTTATCTTCACCCCGCCCCCCCTTTTTTTGGTGATTTATTGGTAATTGAGGTGTCGAACTCTCACTCGAGCAAAGATAGCATCAGCATGAAAAACTTATCCCCAAGGATATTCGTCCGTCTGCAACTTCTCCAAACGACAAAAGGGCAGTAGGCCAGGTCTACCCCACAGTTTAGTTGAAAGCATAATTCTGACACTTGGCCGGCGGGTTGACTTGTCTCCCAGCCTAAGGCTGGATCGGATCTGAGTCAAGATGAACTGGTGGGTTAACTTGTAATCTTCTTAAAACTAGATAAATTTTTTATATATATTCAAAACAATATTATTTCAGTTTTTTTTAATTAATTTATTGACTTATCTAACCCACGTCCTGAGTGTGGTTGTGTACCAGGCCAGCTTTCATTGAATTGAACCACGAACATCAAAATGCTGCTCTTGAAACTGCATGGTGATCAAATGCTGCTGATTTTAATTTGAACGAAAAAAAACAAGAAAGAGAGAAACATTTACAGCTATTGAGATCAAAACCAAAGCATGAAAAGCAACAGCCTACTTCAAGATGAAGTATCTTCTAAACATCTAATTACTAAGCCAGATCCAGCAATTCAATTCAGCCATGGATGGCCTTTCCATGCAGCAGGAGTTTTGTCACGAAATGTGACGGCCTCCTTCAAGATGAAGTGCTTCTAAAATTCTATACATGCTCTTCCTAGATATGACCCTCCAATCCATGTCCCATTGTGCTACCTAACCGCAGATAGCCTTCCTTGACATGAGTTGTATTCCCCTGACCCAGAGCTCAGCCATCTCCAGCCCACCATCACATACGAAGTGCACCTCCTTGTTCTTAGTAGTCAAAACCCGAAACAGACCAGGAACATCAGCATCACCCCTCCTCCGCCTATTCCTACGAAAGGTTGGGCTTGGCCCCGCTTCTGCTTCCCTGCATATTACATTTCTCCTACTTGATTTTCCCCATCTAAGAACGCCAGCTTCTCCGATCATTTTTATCTCCTTTCCATGCGGAACACCACTCCCTCTCTTGGTGTGTTTCAGTACCTGTGAACCACCTAACACCAGCTTGCAAGCAAGCTCGTCTAGTATTACTCGTTCTGCCTCATTTTTTGTGCCAACATATCTCCTTGCGAGTGAGAGTGCTGTTTCACCTCTAGCGTTCTTGATTTCACATTGAGCCCCGTGTGAGATCAAGAGCTCGCACATGGACCCGTGGCCCTCTCTAGCAGCCAACATGAGAGGAGTGTAGCCATCCCCATCAGGGACATTTACATTATAACCTTTACTTATCAATAATTTGACTGCATCCACGTCCCCACGCCGTGCTGCGCAGTGCAATGCATAGAATCCTCCAGCATTGCGGTTGCCCATTTGAAGAGCAAATTCAAGCATCACCTTCTCAAACAGATCGTGATTCTGATTCATTTCAGAAAGGGTGATTGCAGTTTCGCCAGCTTTGTTACAAAGCTTTACATCAGCCCCGGCATAGACCAGCAGTCGAAATACTTCAACGTGACCATTTAAAGCTGCAAACATGACGGCTGAGAAACCACTATCATCCTGATAATCAATATCAACTTCTCCCCACTTGATGAGTGCTTTCAAGGCTTCTATATCACCAGCTTGAGCTACAAAGATTAGTGAAGAGAAAACAGAAGCACTGCTGGATATGGGAATCTTTCCAGCCCTGATAACTTCAAGTATTATTTGCTGGAAACCAAGAGACCACTGGTTTGAACCAGCGAGTGAAGTTGCAGATTGGCCAGCAGTATTAACTAAGCCAAAATCAGCACCGGCCATAGCCAATATTCTCAGACACTCTTCTTGCTTGTATTTGGCGCATATCATTAGAGCAGTGTCTCCAGAATCAGTCCTCGAGTTTATATCACAGCCAGAGTCAATGAGGCATTGGAGGGTTTTAGATGAGCCTAAACGGGCAGCCATATGTACTGGTCGGAACTCTGTTTTCTGGGTTTTAACAGAGGCCTCTGCATTGGCTCCACTGCTTAAGAGCACATTGACGGCGGCAGCATTTCCACAGAGAATGGCATGGTGGAGGAGAGTTCTTCCATGGTGAGGAGTGTCAGGAGAGAGATGCTGGAGGAGCATTCGCAAGATAGTGCCAGTGATTTCAAAATACTCCACCGCACACCAGGTGATGGCATATGGCTCTGCAAGTCCAGCACCCACTCGAAACTCTTCTCCTGTAGTTGCATCCCACGACCACGCTCCCAGTCTAACTTTGAAATCTGTCTTTGCACCGGCCTGTTTAATCATTTTGATAACAATCAAGATAAGCATTTATAAAAAAAATAATAAAAGGATCAGCAAGAAAAATTTCAAGTCAGAAATGACAAAAAAGGTGCCGCCACTTCACTGTCCAATTCAATCTCAAACTGATTGTCCAATCATCTTCAGTATAATTGTTTTTCACTTAAGCTACAGCTTTAGATCCTATATTTTGAGATGTCATCCAAAGTCGCATATCCAGCTGAACCAGTGGTTACACCAACCGCATGGAGGGGGTCCAACCTATTTGAAATGTCCCGATATGTAGATTTTTTCATTTATAATTGAAGGATAATTTCACCTAGCCTTAATTTTGATAAAAAGGTAAAAAATTGACAGAGAAGAATAGAACCCCCCAAACTTTAACCTTTTATGGATCACGCTGATTCTTTTAAGACTCAAACCGAAAGTAAGAGATGAGAAGGTTACCTTGAGAAGCAAATGGACAACTGCAACCTGCCGACTAACTACAGCAGCAACAATTGCATTACAGTCAACATTTGCATGCAGAGAAGGCTTAGATGACAACAGCATCAATCTATCCGTTTCATCAACATCAACACCACACTGCCATTAAACAAGAATGAACAATGTCAATGACACGGAAAAAACCCCTGCAATTAACTAGAAGACAGCTGTGATTAATCAGATCAACTAGATGTTCCAGGAGATTTGTTGAACACATAAAAAGCAATTAACTCATTTAACTCAAAGCTGACTACACTGTGGGTCCAGAAAGTTTAACCAATTGTATTTTTAAAAAACCCGTGGGGTTTTGGAAAATTCAGGGATTTGGTGAATGTTTTTAGGGAAAAGGCCGAAAGGCCGAAAGAGTGGTAAATCAAGCAAAAAAACCTTTGGCATCAACCATAATTATCAAACTGAACCCAAAATTTAACCCGGCCCAATGCTTATTCACATGGTGGCCAGATTTACCCGCTCTATCCCCCAACAACGTTGTTATGGTTTTTTTTTTTTTAAAAAAAAAGAAAAACCATGTTATTTTAGTTTTTTTAATGAAAAGACATGATTTGAACAACAATTTTTTTTAAAAAAAAAAACAAATTTGTTTCAAATTTTTTTAAAAAGATTCTTGAAGTTGACGTTATTGAATCTCACTCGAGTTTGTCCAAGTGTCCTAACCCAGTTCGAGAGCAAACCCAACTCGAGATAGACTCCAAGTTAATGGGTCAACACATCAGGCAGGCCAGGGCTGATCTCCCCCTTTCATAAGTCCACACCGAGAACAAGTAAAAAAACAGTTCACGACAAAGAAAGCAGTCATACTTTGTCAAACCAAAACTCAAAGGAGTGAAGAGCAAAAAGACCCGTTCAACAGCTTCAAAAACTGACGCAAATCAGGTTTAATAACAGCCATTTACATTTCGCTGCAAGAGTAACTTTGATTGAAGCTTAAAGATGTAGTTATACAGCAGACATGAATCACCAACTAAATGGTTTACCTCCAGTAGAGTGCCCACCACATCTGCAAACCCCCTGCAGCATGCTGTGACAAGAACATGCACAGCAACACGGGGCCGAATCAAATCAGAACCCATGAGCAGTTCTGCAAGCCTAGCTCGCCCATGGAATCCCGCTTCAAGCAAAGCCTCCTCACAAGCCGGCTGAGATGCCCCGGCTTTAAGCAAGATCTCCAGAATCTCTCGGTGGCCCTCCCTCACTGCTGCTGTAATCGGAAAACCTCTGAAGAGTTTCTGGTTGACATCAGCTCCAACACTCTGCCAATTGGAAAATCCAACCTTTCAGTACTTTAACAAAGATCATTGCAAGACTGGCATCATTCTAAATCCAAGTTTCTGTTGCTTTGTTTTCATAAAAATTTTAATCAGTTTAACAACAAGAAGACAAAACTAGTAGCAGTCTAATAGGTTTCATTTTTTTCACGGAGTACAGGAGGACACAGTAAAGGACAGAAAAACACAGGGAACAGTACTGATGTGATCGACATGGAACTGTAATAAAAAACTTATTAATATACTCTAATGTACTTTACTCTCCAACCAATCGTAAGAGACAACTCATCATGGGCCTCCCTGATCCAATGTCTGTTAGGTAAAAAGGTTTATGTTACCAGGGTATGGCTTCCGCTTCTTGATTGTATACTTAAAAATATAATTTCTCCAGTGAACAGAACAGTACAAAATAATGAATAGTATGTGCAGAGGATATGGCAATTATTGATGGATATGAATATGAACAAACAGTAGGCCATGGGTATAAATTCCCAACTTCACAAAACAAAGATTCCAGTGATCATTGTAATTTTAGACAGTCATTTAGATCCACACCAAACGGGATTTGATGGTATCTGCTACGAATAAATAAGCATAGCAGTCTAAGGACAAAAATCAGGAAAATGCCAAAGGGCATTCTGTTTGTGCACTAATATCTAGGACATAATATTTGTTTTTTACTTCTATCAAATTCAGAAAGATAGGTCAGTAGTTAAAATTCCTACAACAACCAATTATAAACACATTCTTGAACGTGAAACAACAAGTCTTGATGCATTGATTAACCAAATTAACAGATTTTTTCCAAGTATAATTAAGATTTGTTAATAGTTGCTTATGTATTATTATACTGGTAATAATTAGACATTTAAACTGAAAACTAACAGTTTGGACAATGTAGAGGGTTCATGCAATTTTGTAGACGAGTTATCAATTTTCTTAAGAAGAAAAAATAATGAAATTAATTAAATGAAAATCAAATTCTGAAAATTTTTCCATAAAAGAAAAAACAAAGCAAAGCAAGGCCACTGCAAAAGATTGCGAATCTGATTCATATCCAGTGTTTGGAAACAAAAAGTAAACAAGGAAAAAAAGAGCTTCCGTGTTCGAATTTAATCAATTAAACTTCTAATTATGGGGGGTCGGCATTAAGACAATGAATCCTTAAAAAAAGATATAAACAGCTTTAATTTCAAAGACAATACCCGCAGAAACCAAAACCATAGCAACTTTATTAAGTTCGAAAGTGGCAGGCAGCCAAAAAAAGACCATAAGTTCGAGAAAATCACAGTATAAACTAACTAAGCTTAAGCGGATTAATATAAAAAATCAAATGCTTAATCACTAGCAGCCAAAAAAACCCGCAAAATTTCCAGAATAGCTAATCTTGACAAAGGCTAAGTTTGGTTTTTGTTTTAAAGAATAAAAATACAACAAATACCTATTTATGTACTTTTCATTTTAATTTTTTGAAAAAACACCGCTTTCCGTATCAGAGGGATTCAAAATTGAAAATTCAAAAATTTCAGTTTTGGTAAAAAAAGAAGGGAAAAGGAATACTCGTTCAAAATCTAGGCTTGTAAAACTCATTTCTATGTTAACTCACTCAAATTTAGACAAACAAAAAAAAGCGACTAAAACACACTAAAAACAACATGAGACGCAGAAACGAGCTCTGACATTACCAGCAATTTCTTGACGAGAGCAACATTTCCAGCATGAACAGCGAGAAACAACGCAGTAACATCAGTCTTTAACTCTTGATAATCAAAAGAGACTTCACTGGCTGACTCGTCATTTAAAACAACCTCACTCTTTCTACTCTTCAAACAAATAGCTCCAATGTAGTTCACGTCAATAAACGGATCGGCGATGCACTCTAAGGCCGATTTCAGATCTCCGGAGAGTGATGCTTCTAGAAGCCGTTGTGAGACTTCCGACTCGTAGTCCACCGGGACTACCTGCTTGCCGGAGAAGAGAGTCATTGTTTGCACGTTGCAAGTCACTCTAGTCAAGGTAGGTACCAAATTTGGAGTTTAGTTTTTGCAGAGAGAGAGAGAGAGAGAGACGTGAGGCTCGAGAGAGAAACTTGAAAGGAGTGAGCGCCAGAGACAGAGAGAGGAAGAGGCTTATTTATTCGGAAGCTTGGTTTTGACTGTTTTTTAATTTATGTTTTAACTGCGGTTAAACTGTTATTGTTTTCTAGCCTAGAGTGGTTAAAACCTGTGGACAGTGCCTGTGGGGCCCGGTTGTTTGTTAATGGATGCGCGGCAAGCTTGGCTCGGCTTAGGAGATGGTCTTTGGCTTGGGGAAGATAAGGTTGGGAAGTCAAATCAGACCCGTTGGTGAAAATGGAAATCGCAATCAGGATCGTTGGATGGGAAGGGAGTAGGGTGGTTTGGACTGACTGAAGAAGAGATATAGGTAGGTGATATAGATTTGGAAGCTTGAACAAACGAGGAAATGTCCTCGTCTAGGGTCTCAAGAAACCCCAAATTGCTGTCACCAAGTTTATTGTTTTGCTTGATTTCAGAAGAAAATCACTAACTCTTGACTTTTAAGAGGTTATATGAGGTAATATTATAGCCATGAGGGTGTTTGTGAGTATTATATTAGTTATTTTTTATAATTTTTTTATTTAAAAATATATTAAAATTTTTTAAAAAAAATATATATCAAAATAATCCAAAAATATAAAAAATTAATTATAAAAAAATCAACGTTTTGAAAAATGTTGTTCTAAACACTTTCTCAGAGCTCTTTAATTTAATCTACATCTATGATTTCTTTTTTAGATTCTCAAAGATTTAAAACATGAATTTTTTTAAAAGAAGATGAGGATTTGTTTTCCTTGTTAAACAATGTAGAGATTCTAATTAATGGACAAAATGGATACCAGCAACAAAAAATACAAATCTCAATCTTGTGAATGAAATCAAGGCGATGTGGAAGAAGGTAAGGAGGTAATGTGGAGGTGAGAATTACGAAATTGGAAAAACCTAATAGCATGTTTATTTATAGAAAATAGTTTTTATTCTTTGTATAACTCCAAGCCATGTTTTTAGATGATATTCTTGGAAACAACTATGTCACTTTTTTTTATCTCTCCCAATCTGGATTGATTTATAAAAATTAAAAAAAGAAACCAAAAGTGAGATTTAAAGACTTGATTATAAATATTAATTAGATAATAATGATTACGAAAATCCTCTTATAAAATATTATTTTATCACACATATAAGTGTGTTTGATGAAGCTGAGATAAAATTTTAAAAAATCTCTGATGAATGTGGATAATTTTGAGCTTAAATATGGATATGACTTATAAATTAACTTTCTAATACTTAAATGAATTTAGAATTTTAGAGAGTGTATTGAAATTTAGTTTCTGTGTTGTTGAGGGAAAAAAAATTCAACTTTTCTTTCCTAAACATGCAATTAACTTTCCCATACTTAAATTAATTTAGGACTTTAGAGAGTGGATTAAAATTTAGGTTTTGTGTTGTTGAGAAAAAATAAATCAACTTTTTTTTCTTAAATATGGAATGTATAGTTAAAAAACATGAAAATAGCTAGAAAAATATTTAGAAACTTACAAGTGAAAGTAATATTTATGGATAATAATAAATAGTGACCCGAGGTGAGCTATATCTATTAGAATAAAGCTCGAGCTCAGTTGGGAATTTATTGAACCGAGTTTCATGGAGCTTGGTTGGCGTGACCACAAAAAAAAAAAACAGTAAGAGGAGAGTAACTTGATTGGATCGTGGTCTAACTAAGTCCAAATAAGTTAGTTAGATAGTGGCTCATCATGATAGCTTAAGACAAGACTTGATTTAGCAGTTTAATTAAATTTTAATATCATTTTTTTGTATTATCAATATTATATGGATTAAACTCTAGAATACAATTTTTATATTAACAAAGCCACACATGTAGGCTCTACTTAACACCGTTGGTTCATTTAATTAATTTTTAATTATAATCATTTTATTAATTATGATAAGATTTACATTTTGTGATTTTAATTTTTTTTTATATAATAGATATCATGTAAGTAAGCAAAAATCAGTTGCTTTCTTATTTTTTTTATGAAGTGGCCGAGTCCAAAAGCATGCAGGAGAGAATGATCTTCAATGAAACATTCGTGCACTAATGTCGCTCAAGGAATGATTTTGGTAGCTGCTGAATTCCTGAATTGATGTGATATGCATTGATTTCACTAATCACTATCGCACGATGCAGCCACGCTCATTTCTCAACAAAGCCGCTTTTCCATTATTATCTCTTTTTTTGTTTTTGTTTTTTTTTCCATTAGAGCACAGGTAACAAGGAATCAGGAGGAACCAGCAACAAAAGTTGAATATCCCGCCACCATGGAATCTTGACATACTATACTGTTATCGCTGGGTTAATTAAGGATAAATTGGGTATTTATGACCCAAGATATAAATTTATGATGAAATGATGAGAAATTTTAATAAAATAGCATAACATAAAAATATAATAGTTTTAAAATATAATATATTAATAATTTTAAAGTTTAGAATTATGACATTTGATATATATTACAATTATGACATGTAATATCAGTTGTGATTCAAAACATAACATCTTTAATAAATTTATTTTAAAAAATAACCAGATATTTAATAAAATAATTTAATAGTAGTAAAAATGATTAAATAGTTTCAAATGTTATTTAATTTTGGGTTATTTTCATGTTTTAAATAGGAAAAAGTTCATAAAATCATAATATTTATTAATCTAAAATTTTATTTATTTTATAATTTTAAAAAATTAAAATTTTAACGATTTTATCAAAATTTAGATAGAGTTTCTTCTATATAAAAGCTATACTTAAAATTTCATCTTACTTAAAAAAACTATAACAAACCGCAATAACTCCAATCAATAAATTCTAATTAAACTCAATAAAAAAACATATATACAAGAAAAATGACTAAAAAAATAATTCAATAATATAATATTTAATTAATTCTAAAATATATAGACATAACTCATATATCTATCCACGTCTACTAGATGATCCAAACTCATCAATAGCACGATTAGATCTAGTTCTTGCTCCCACCTAAGTGGTCTCATTATCTACCACAACATCATCAAAAGTTAGACTTTCCTTAAAAGTTTAAAGTCTAGTATAACTGACATTTAACTACCATTTTATTTATTTTATGATTTTAAAAAATTAAAATTTTAACGATTTTATCAAAATTTAGATAGAGTTTCTTCTATATAGAAGCTATACTTAAAATTTCATCTTACTTAAAAAAACTATAACAAACCGCAATAACTCCAATTAATAAATTCTAATTAAACTCAATAAAAAAACATATATACAAGAAAAATGACTAAAAAAATAATTCAATAATATAATATTTAATTAATTCTAAAATATATAGACATAACTCATATATCTATCCAAGTCTACTAGATGATCCAAACTCATCAATAACACGATTAGATCTAGTTCTTGCTCCTACCTAAGTGGTCCCATTATCTACCACAACATCATCAAAAATTAGACTTTTCTTAAAAGTTTAAAGTCTAGTACAACTGACATTTAACTATCGAAACTTATGGTGTGAACTTTGCTTTTTTCTTTAATACTATAAAGATATGATAAGGTGTATTGATCCTTCCATAGTAAGAAGTCAATATAATATTAATAAAAAATTTAATATTGAATTGCAAAATAAATGTATAAAATTTAACGATTAACATGTATTAATTATAGAAAAACTTTTATTGCTTATGTGATATTGAATTTGTTAGGTATATTGTAAATATTCGGGTAGAGAAACCTACTTGGGACCCAGAAATATTAATCCATCATGTTATACTCATGTATCAAATTATATACTCTTTGCTAATACTTACATGATGTATTTTTATAAATATCTTAATTACTTGTGTATCTTGCCATAATATATAAGCAGTATACCAACTTAACCAGTCATAATCTATATGAAGTATTAAATTGGTTTATATAGTAAGACAAGTTATATAATTAGAATATGAAATTTCTCTATCAAGAAAATCCTCTCTCGATGATTATAGTTATATTTGTACTCTTTACATGTTTTTTTTTATCTTTTTTTCTAGACAATGAAAAGAAAAAGATTATAAAAAATCACTCCTAATCCATATTCCATGCTTTAAGGTCAATATAAATACTTGATAAATTAACAATTCAGGTCATTGTTTCAATCAATCTCTTTTCATTACCTTTTTATTTTTATTTTTTATAATATAATTTGATAATTATAAATTTATCTTAGTCATTGCATCTTGCACTCTAATAAGTACATAGTTATTAAATTTAATCTCATGAATATTAATAAAAAATTTAATATTGAATTGCAAAATAAATGTATAAAATTTAACGATTAACATGTATTAATTATAGAAAAACTTTTATTGCTTATGTGATATTGAATTTGTTAGGTATATTGTAAATATTCGGGTAGAGAAACCTACTTGGGACCCAGAAATATTAATCCATCATGTTATACTCATGTATCAAATTATATACTCTTTGCTAATACTTACATGATGTATTTTTATAAATATCTTAATTACTTGTGTATCTTGCCATAATATATAAGCAGTATACCAACTTAACCAGTCATAATCTATATGAAGTATTAAATTGGTTTATATAGTAAGACAAGTTATATAATTAGAATATGAAATTTCTCTATCAAGAAAATCCTCTCTCGATGATTATAGTTATATTTGTACTCTTTACATGTTTTTTTTTATCTTTTTTTCTAGACAATGAAAAGAAAAAGATTATAAAAAATCACTCCTAATCCATATTCCATGCTTTAAGGTCAATATAAATACTTGATAAATTAACAATTCAGGTCATTGTTTCAATCAATCTCTTTTCATTACCTTTTTATTTTTATTTTTTATAATATAATTTGATAATTATAAATTTATCTTAGTCATTGCATCTTGCACTCTAATAAGTACATAGTTATTAAATTTAATCTCATTGGTGATTTAGGATCCTTTATTTGTTAGTTATTAACTTGTATTAAAGTTAAAAATATTAAAAAAA